TTCTTCCTTTTTCATGAGAGGTAACATAATTTGTAGCTGAGTAGTTTTATTCCTGCCCATAGAAATTTGGTAACCTATTTGGTAACGTTGATAACCTATCATTTTACATTCTTTCTTACCCTTTCAGTCCAAGCTGGAAGTGTTTCTGCTGATATAAAATTCTCAAGAACTTTGTGAGTCTCCCACGTATGTCATTGGGAATGTACTCCATTAGATAATAGGCTCACCTAGAGATTTTTCCTAGATAATCTCACTCATTTTAGGCCAGCTTTTCTAGAGAAGCAAAACCAGTGAAACATATATGTATATATACATAGAGACGTTTATTATCAAGAAAATGGCTTACGATTACAGAGTCCCAGGTCCCCCAGTGGATGAGAGAGAGAGAGCAAGTCCCTTCCGCATGTCCATTTTATTGGCAACATGCCACACCCCCAAGGAAGCATCCCCTTAATTGACTGGCTGCTCAGGGTCACTCTTCAGAGTTAACTGTGCCTGTATTTGGTTTCATCACCATGGAAACAAGCACATCTCAACTGCTAAACCTCTGGAAATCCTGTCCTAGTTGAGTTGACCCAGAACCCTAACCATTACACCACCTCTAATCTTTTCTTCATTTTTAATATCTCCATTGGTTAGCAATACATTAAAATCCTGATTTACTGCTTCCTTGAATCTCCAGCTCAGATGTTTTGTACATCTTTTTTGCCCCCTTAACTTTCCATTCTCCTCTTCATCCAGCCTCTAGTAGCCACTAATCTTCTTTTGTTTAGATTAATTTGTCTATTCTATATATTTCATACAAGTGGAATCATATGTACAATGCAATGGAAACATACAATCATCCAAAAGTGGAATCATCTATGTGTCTGGTTTATTTCACTTAGTGTAATATTTTCAAGGTCCATTCACGTGTTAGCATGCATCAGAACTTCACTTTTCTTTAGAGCTCAATAATATGAGTACTTTACTGTATGTGTATACAGGAACCCTGGTGGCTCAGTGATTATAGTGTGTGGGTGCTAACATACAGATTGGCGGTTCAAACCCACTAGTTGTTCCTTGGAAGAAAGATATGGCAGTCTGCTCTTGTAAAAATCCTCTGCCTCTAGGGTTGCTACAAGTTGGAATCAACTCAACAGCAACGGGTTTGGGTTTTTGTTTTTTTGTTTGTATATCCATTTTATGTATCCATTGATCTGTTGACGGACACCTGGGTTGTTTCTACCCTACCTGTATTTTTGGGTTTTGTTGAGATGACTAAAAGGAAGACCTTAAGCTTCTGAGGTGTTCTCTAGTTTGATTGAGGGTATTGTGATCCATACCTTTAATCTCATTAACTGAATACTCTGGTCTTTTGATCTTTGTTAGATATCAGCAAAAGGTTGTGCACTCTTACTTTTTCTGAGAGAGCACACTTTCCTGACAGTGACTATTTAAAGTTAAGCATTTTTTGCCATTTGGATAGGCTGAGAATTTTCTAAACCATCAAATCCTAGTTCCTTTGTGTGTGTGTGTGTGTATGCATAATACTTTTTTTTTTTATTATTGTAAATTTAGTGACGGTTTACAGACAAGATCACCAGTTTTACATTCAACAAATCATATGCTTTGTTTCATCTCAATGATTACAATCTCCTTCATGCATCAACAGTTGGCCCACTTCCCTAGTTCCTTTTTAACAGTTCTTCCCTCAATTTCGTTCTTTCTTCTCTCATTTTGCTATAAGCAGCAAGAAAAAAAAACAGATGGCATTTTTCAGCACTTTGATTGGAAATCAATAAGCTAGTATGTTGGCTTACAGAAGGCGCCCTTGCCAAGGGTCATAAGCAAAGGAGGCACACAGCCATGGTGTAAGCAGAATCCTGATTTTCAATGGTGGCACTCAGAGGGTTAATACATCTGTTATAGTTAAATGACAATAATGTTTTTAGTCTTAACAATCCAGGATATATTTTATAGGTATGATCTCCAAGGAGGGATAAAGGAACAAGAACTAACCTTTAGTGATCAGCTGGTGGCATCAGGCACTTACATAGGGTAGCTTGTCTCACGGTGGTTTAGGGCATGAAATTGAAGTCCAGTGCCACACTGGATCTGCCAGTTATTGGTTTGTGTGGCTTAGCCAAGCCACTAAATCTCTCTGAGCATCAATTTGCCCCTTCTACACAATTGGAATGATAAATAATACCTGCCACTTAGAGTGGCTATGAATATTAAATATTAAACAATTTGTTCACGTTTAATGTGAGCTAGATCTAGATTAAGGAGCCCTGGTGGCACAATGGTTAAGTGCTCAGCTGTTAATTAGGAGGTTAGTGATTCAAAGCCACCAGCCACTCCTAGAGGAAAGATGCAGTGATCTGTTGCCATGAAGATTCCGTCCATTGCCATCAACTTGACTCTGACTCACAGCAACCTGACTTAGTGAAACTGTTCCATAGAGTTTCTGAGACTGTAAGTATTTACGGGAGTAGATTGTCTCATCTTTCTCTCGGAGCATCTGATGGGTTTGAACAGCTGACCTCTCTGCTAGTAGCCCAACGCCTAACCACTGTGCCAATCTAGATTTGAGCTCCTCTGGGCCCCTGGGAGGCAGCAGAGTACAGTGGCCTCCTGCTCAGGCTTTGTAGTCAGACAGAACTGCAGGAGGAATCTCTATACCAGCCTTCTCCACCTAAGGGATCACTGAACTTGCTGTGTGACTCTTGTTTCCACGTCTTTAAAGTGGTGATGAAAGTAGTCCCAGCTTCCAATGGTTGTTAATGATGATGGAATATGGCAAGTGTCTGATCTTCTGTAACAGTAATTCCTATTAGTATTAGTGTCATTATTAAGTACTTGAAGAGGATGTTCTAATTGTTCCCGGGTGGCACATGTAATTAAGCACTGGGCTACTAATCGAAAGGTTGGTGACTTGAATCCATCAAGAGGTGCATCTGAAGAAAATCCTGGTGATCTACATCCAAAAGATCAAAACCACGTGGGGGATAAAAACCAGGATGTTCTAATATTCTAGGAAAAAGCCAATCACTTTCCCCACCCACCTACCTAGAATGAAATTCATTCAGTAAGTCTTCCTTTGGAATATTGGGATCATTTTTTGGCCTCTGCTTCAAACCTTTGGGATGAGGTAACTGCTGGGCCTCAGGGGCTGCCTCTCACCCCCAAGTGGCTACTTTGTCACTTTCACCTTCATACAAGGTCCTGGTAAAGCTGCTTTAGAAAGGCAAGGAAAACACACATCCTAATAGATTTGGCAGACAGGATGTGAAAAGATGCATTATTTCCGTGGGGGAGCAAGTAGCCAGCAAGGATGTCTTTTCCACAGGTCACATACAACCATTAAATCCAGGACCTTTGTTTGGATCCCTAGGAAGCTCAGGCCAAAAACGTCATAAATACACATGAGCCTAGTGCAGCCTTGTAGGAAATAGGACAGTGGAGGTGGCATCCCTGAGTCCTGTGGTTGCCAAATTTACTTCAATTTTTAATTAAATTAATGAACAACTTCAGACACAAAGACCTGTTCCACTGAGATATTGAACTGTCAGCAGACATTTGCTTGTCTTTTATATGTGATTTCTTACACTCCCTCCCCTCCCCCAATGTTTCAGCAGTTTCTTCTCCATTCCTAAAAGAACCTGCATTTTCCTTCCCAGCTCTGTCTCTGGCTTCCTGTGTGCTAAGCCTCTTGCAGTTGTCATCATGTCTTCAGAATGCATTTGATAGGTACAGGAAGTTGCACCAGACCGGAGATGGAACCAACAATCAATTAAAAAAAAAAAAAAAAAAGCACACTGTTTCTAAGAAAGATGCATCACGGCTTCCCACAGGAGTTGTGTACCATATGTTCTAATATCCGTGTAACAATGGATCTAATTTTGAGCTCCTCTGCTTGGCTTTGCCACCCATCACAACAAGAAAAATGGTCCTTTTAACCTGCCACTCCCCAGCTTCCTGATGATTTATAATCACGATTGCGTTTCCTTTTAACCCCTTCATCGGATATCACAGAATGAATCTGCCCTCCTTTCTCCTACTAGCTTTATTTCTTAGGGCTACTTAGTTTAGTATATTTATGGTGTATGAGTCATCAAGCTGCCGCCGGATTGGATGAAAACCAAGCACCCCTGAGACCGTCAGTCAATTACAGCTATTCTCAGCTTCATTCACAGATTTATTAGCTTGCACACACAGAGAGAAATCCATTCAGCAAAGTTCATTCATAAAATTTCAACACTTTGCGTATCACCGTTCACATCTCTGCTTTCTGCTGCGAGTGGGTTCCTGAAAGACGCTCCGAGAGTGCAGAAGGGTGGGCAGGTCAGGAGGGGAATTGAGGGACACCAAGGCTTCGAGAGTCCCTGAAACAATGCGGAGCAGCGCCCGTCTCTAGAACTCCTGGCTTGTGGCCCAGAATGGATGCGAGATAAGATCTTCCAAGAGAAGGCAGGCAGAAGGGCCATTGGCTCATATAGACATTCTTCTTCTTTTTTAAAAGATGAACAGTCCCTGAAACAAATAAAGGGTTAATAGGCCAGTCATTGCCCCACCCTGTGGGAACCGAAGGGAGCAGGTTTGAAAGTTCCTGCTTGCAGAAAGGGAGGCTTGGGGGCGGGGGCACTCAATATTTCTGTGACTTCTGCAAGGCTGGCGGTGCGGCGGGGCCCGGCTGGTGCTCCGGCCCCGGCTGTGCGGAGGAGTTGGCGGTGAACGATCCAGTCGCGGTGGTCCAGGCGTGTCCAGCAAGGAATCCTAGGCGAGAAGCCGGGAGCTGCAGCCTGGGCCAGCGAGGGACTGAAATCAGAGCTGGGGAGGCGTTTCCCCCTGGGCTGTCATCCTTAAGGGACTAGGAGGCGAGGGCAGCTTCCTGAAAGAGTAGAGTAGAAGAGCAGCGAGGTGCACCGGGCGGAGAGGCATTTGATTTCCGTGTCGTTTCTCTGCCGGGCGACAAGGCGATTTATGCAACAGTATCCTGTTTCAGCACATCCAAGGCTATGCGAAAACGCGGTCAGGACAGCCTGGCAGGACTCGGCACCCCGGGATGCTGCACAGGGCCAAGTACAGCCGCTTTCGGAACGAGTCCATCACGTCCTTGGACGAAGGCAGCCCTGGAGGCGCGGTCGGGGCCAAGGGCTCGCCACAGCCACCCTGCCCCACCCTGACACCTCACCTGCCAGCGGAAGATGCTACCTTGGCGTCCCAGGACAGCCCCACTACATTGTGTACCTTGATCCCCCGTATGGCGAGTGTGAAGCTGGCCAACCCAGCCACCTTGCTGAGTCTGAAAAACTTTTGTCTGGGTACCAAAGAGGTGCTGCGGCTGAAGCTCCCAGAAAGCCAGGAACCCGCTCCGAGCAGTCCCGCTTCCCCCGAAACCAGTCAAAATAGGGCCGGGTCTGCAGCTTCCCTCCGGTCGGACTTGGTGGAGCACACAGCACATGCAGTAACTCAAGATGCCTGTCCGCTTCCAGGCCCTGGGGAGCCAACCCCTGGGAACAGGCAGGACAGGCACTTTCTCCAGCACCTGTTGGGGATGGGCATGAACTACTATGTGAAGGTAAGTCCTATTCCTTATGCTTCTAAGAACATATAGGGGCAGGGCAGCCACCACCTAGTTGGATTCTGGGTTTGGACAAGTCACTATGCAACTAGACCAAAAGACAGGCAACTGGGTTTACAAATTTTCTGATAAATATCTGGTTTGTAGTGGAGTCAGACAACCTTTGTTTCAAGGACATAAACTGATGCTAGCTTGTAGGTAGTTGCCAGGTGTAGGGATTCATGTAGAGAGAGGCAGCTTAGATGGTGCCTTCTTGTCCCCACGGGACCTAGCATTCTAGCCAAGAAGAGACAAGGATTTCAAATCCAATAAGCGGTTGAGATTTATTAGATTATACCACCATTGTATTTTAGATGAAAACCGTAGAGATTTCTGTGCTAGAGGAGTACATGGTGTGTATGGGGCTTGAATTATTTTATAAAATTTAACTTACATTTAGCTCATTCTTAAAGAATGGTCAAGTCTCCAACCTTGTGCTAAGAGGCTAGTTTTAGCTCAGTACACATTTATTGCCTTTATTACCGAAGCTATGGCAAATGGGCCTTGTCTATGAGATATGTGCAAAATCAAAGTACTTACTGGCCTTGAGTGTGTCCTTGCCCTCTCCAGATCTGGATAAAAGGAGAATGGAAAAATTGACCCCTGATCTTCTGAAACTCAATTTTTAATTTTAGAGACCAGCAAATGCTTGTGAAATAGTACAAGAACAACATTTAACAGTAGATATCTAGTATGAGAATGCTGAGGGAATTCTGAAAAAGGGCCAAGTTGTCATGATCTGGGATTTATTCATATGGGAAACCTCCAGAGAAGATGCATCTGGTAAGAGATATCAGTTCTGCAGATGGGCAGGAAGGAGGAAATTCCTGGCAAGGCAAAAGTCAAGCAGAATCCAAGAGGCTGAAAAGTTGCATCACATAAACTGGGTTTAATTGAAGAGGAGGGGGAGTGTTGAGGCATGGTAGCTGATAAAGAGAGGGCTGGTGTTCAAACAAGTATGGGTTAAATAAAGACAAATACATATGTATATATAATGTATCTGAGGAATAAGGAAGCAGTTGACTGAAGCCTCTCAGTGCCAAATGAGTTTATATACACTCTTACTGGTAAATGACAGCCCTCCTAAATTCTTAGTGAAAATATGGTTTGGCAAAAGTGATTTTAAAAATATCTATCTGTTGATCTATTCTAAATGGATTGAAGCAGGGAAAAATTAGAGACTGGGAGGCCAGTAAGAAAGATACTCCTGGAGTTTAGGTGTGAAGTGTTAACAAGATTCAGTGGAGATGAGAGAAAACATTATGAGTCGGAAGCGACTCCATGGTACTTAACAACAACAACAACATGTGAGGAAAGCCACCATTATCACAGTGGTTAATCAAATAATTCAGATCACAATATAGAAAATACAGTTGTGAATATTGATTAAGCAGTGGGTAGTAGACTGATGAGTTTATTATTGTTCTATATGGATGTTGGGGAAAGCTATTGAGGAAGAGTAGCAAGGAGTGAAAAGCAACTCCAAATTTAAAGTTTGAGAATGGGATTAGTGATGCTAGCGATAAAACAGAGAGAGGAAGGGAGACTTAACCTAAGTTTACTTTTGCTGTATTAAGTTTAAAGTAATGACATCTAAGTGGTATCAATTTGTAGACAAGTGATCGTGTAAGACTAGAACTGTAAGAAGGCTGTTCTGAAGGTTCAGGTAAACCTCAGGTTACAAGCGTTTCATGGACAACTCAAGCTTGCCCTTTAATGTTATATAAATGTGTCCTCATTTTGAAATGATTGAACCAATCTCTACTTGCAACAAATTTTTCATCACAATGAAAAATTTTTATCATTGAAAAGGCTTTTGAGCCTTTCTTGCACTAAAGTTAAGGCTAGGTAAGAACCATTTATACCTGACCCGGCCTACCAATCAGGAACAGATTTCATTTGTAACCTGGGGACTGTATACATTTTTGACATGGCCCAATAACTGTATGGAAATCAATAAGGAGATCAAGGAAGTCCAGATAATGAATGCTGGGACATCTACCAAAATGGCAGGCTTGAGGCACCTTTGAAAAATGGGTAACAAAACCTCTTGTTGTTGTTAGGTGCCATCGAGTCGGTACCAACTCATAGTGACTCTGTGCACAACAGAATGAAACAATGCCCGGTCCTGGGCAACCTCTTAGGAAGGCAAATTTATGGGACATTCAGTTCTTGTCTGCCCCCGCAGCGATATAGCTGGTAATGGAAATAGTTTCATGTGTCTACTAAAAGTTCATGGATACGTTTCTCACTTGTCAAGCCTAAGCATCTGCAAAATCCTGGTGGGTAAAAGAAGGACTCTCCAAACTGTTTTCTTTGTACCTGTTTCTCCCATCACTTAGACATCTTCTATCTTGATTTTTCTTTCCATCTCCTCACATCTACACACCTGTACAATTTTAAATATGAAAAGTGTTGCTATGTGAATCCATTTCCCAAAGGAGCATCTCCAATGACATTTTAGATTTTAATGAGGACTCCATCTGTCTTTTTGTGGCAATGACAACTGACCCCAGGAAAAGTGCTTACCCCATGACCCAAATGAGCCATACTGTATTGCCACTAGGCTATGTCAGGATGCACCCCCTAAGTGCCTCTCTTGTTGTTGTTGAGTGCTGTTAAGTTGATTCCTATGTCCAACAGAACTAAATATTGCCTCGTCTTGTGCCATCCTCACAATGTTGCTGTATTTGAGTTTATGTTGCAGCCGCTATGGCAATTCATCTTATTGAGTGTCTTCCTCATTTTCACTGATCCTCTACTTCACTAAACATGATGTTCTTCTCTACTCTCTGTGGACAAGAGACGCTAAGGAGAAAAAGACTTTGCTATGCACATGGAGTCCTGGTGTGATGCTATAGGATAAGCACTGGACTGCTAACCAAAAGGTTCAAACCCAGCAACTGCTCCCTGGAAACCCTTTATAAGGTTGTGATGAGTCACAACAACAATATCATGCACATGGAGAGTCTGATAACACTAAACCTTTTAAGAAGGGTTGTGTAACTTTAGAAAACCCCCAGCGACAGAGTCCCACTATTTTCACAGAAGAAAGCCAGAGGCCCACAACAAAATGAGATGGTTTTCTGCCTCTGCTAATTTCTCTTGAAATTATTGGCAGTTAAGAGGGAGTAGTGTGGGTGGGAGGAAGTAATTCCAACTAAAACTGACAATTTGAGATTTGGGGTGTTCTATTTTCCTTCCTGTCTCTTGGGATAGATATAGAGGTAGATTTTTCTAGAATTGAGGACAATTCTGGAAGGTTTGAACTATTCTTCCTGTTGTTGTCTTTTGACCCTTGATTTGCCAGACCTTTCTTCTCTTGACCATTGTTGTTATTAAGTGCTGTCTAGTTCATTCTGACTCTCATAGCAATCCTGTGTGGGATTGATTGGTCGGTTTCAACTCTTGACCTGTAGTTAGGTTAACAGTCCAGTGCTTATCCTACAGCATCAAACCAGGACTCCTAGAGCATTCGTTGGAAGAAAGTCTTAGAGATCTCCAAATCTAAAGCTTTCATTTTGTAATGGAAAAAACTGAGGCTCAGTGAGGTGAAGTAACTTGCCTAAACCACATATCTGCTTAAGGGCACACAAGGACTTCCAGTTCTATGTAAACATTGTTTTCTATCACTGTCTCAATTCACCTTCCTTTCCTCCCTGAACTAAACAATACTATACTAAAATGTCTCTACTTGGATAAAATGTGGTGGATTTTTTTTTTAAAGCCCACAGTGAAAACTTTTTCTATTAGTAAAATTGTTCCAAAATAGTCATGAGAAGGGAAAAGAGAGCAAGGAAGAGTGGCAAGAATTCCAAAATGCACTGCTGGTGGTGGTTATGTACCGTGGAGTTGGTTCTGACTCTGTATAGGGTTTCTGAGTCTGTATATCTTTACAGGAGCAGAAAGCCTCATCTTTTTTCCACAAAATGGCTGGTAGTTTCGAACTGCTGACCATGAGAATAACAGCCCAACTCATAACTACTAAGCTACCAGAGGTCCTTAGTGTTGCCAATTTCACTATTTTGTTTAAGAAGGTCCCTGTGATGACAACTTGCCTGTGTTGCATCCAGGCTTGTACAAGATGCATGGACTGGTACCTATTTCACTTATCTTACATAACCCTTTAGGGGTCTCTCCCCAATATGATTTCTTCTGTCACTTCCATTTTCATATTATTCTAAAGTCAGTGTCATGTCATTATATGGGTTGAATGGAATCAACACTGTTTCCTAATATTGCATTTATATCACTTTGTCTCTCATACTTCATATATGTTGTTAGTAGTAGTAATAGCAGTAGTTAGGTGCCATTCAGTTAGTACTGACTTATGGCGACCCTATGCACAACAGAACAAAACACTTCCAGGTCCTGGGCCAACCTCACAATCGTTGCTAGGCCTGAGCCCATCACTGTTGCCACTGTGCCAATCCATCTCATTGGGGGTCTTCTTCTTTTTCTCTGACCCTCCACTTTATGAAACATGACATCCATGTCCAGCGACTGGTCCCTCCTGACAATATGTCTGAATTATGACAGATGAAGTTTGGCCATCTTGGCTTCCAAGGAGCACTCCGGCTGCACTTCTTCCAACACAGACCTGTTTGTTCTTTTGGCAGTCCATGGTACTTTTAATATTCTCCTCCAATACCATAACTCAAATGCATTAATTCTTCTACGGTCTCCTTTATTTACTGTCCAACTTTCAAATGCATATGAGGTTATTGAGAATACCCTGACTTGGGTCAGGCATATTTTAGTCCTCAAGCTGACATCTTTGCTCTTCAACACTTTAAAGAGGTTTTGTACAGCAGATTCACCTAATGCAATATGTTGTTTGATTTCTTGACTGTTGCTTCCATGAATGTTGATGGTTGATCTGAGCAAAATGAAGTCTCTACAAGTTCAATCTCTCCTCCATTTATATGGATGTTGTTAATTGGTCCGATGGTGAGGAT